TTTACGTGGTATACGCGCTTCGGGGGCTCGAGGTGGTGTAGCCCAAAAAAGATAAATCCATGCGGGCCTAGGCCCAAAGCGGAAAATACGTACCATGGGCTTGGACGTCACAAATATGGTATCAGAGCCGAATCTCCCTCGGTAGGATAGTAAGGCAAACCTCAGTGGTCAACTGGGTTTAGGAGAATCCTACATCTTTGGCAAGGTGGTTGGGCAAAGCTACGCGAGGACGCTGAGTCCCAAGAGGGGTGAATATAGTGCACATGACGAAGGGCAGGCTGATGAGGGCGGGTCAAACAGGACTGAGGCTTCTAGGCTGGCAAGTTTCTAAAGAAGGGGTGCACATGTCACCTTAGGCGAGTTCCACATTGGAATGGGAGAGGAAATTGAAAAGCTTTATAAGGCATGACACAAGTTCACATGGTACACGCGCTTTTGGGCGGGACTCGAGATGGCGTAGCCAAAAAAAGACAAATCCTTACTGGCCTAGGCCCAAAGCGGACAATACATACCATAGGCTTGAGTCGTGAAACAAAGAAAGTTTATGGGGCTTGAACTGAAAAGCAAGACGTGAAGCTCACACTTAAAGTGAAGTGCAAATTTAGTACTTCGATAATCAATATCAATGAAATTAAGTAATTTCAACATTCAATTTAGAATAATGGTGATACTAATCCAACTTCTCGAAGTCGAGATTTAAAGGAATCACTTGGCCTGCCATTCTTTGAAGCGCACATTTATGGTGAAGTGCATGGCTATGCCTATGATGCTGTGACCCTTCGCTTCACATTGCTTGTCGCTTGGCTTTTAATAACTTCTCTGGAAAAAAAGGAAAATGAGCTCAGTCATTAGAGTTGTTATTTCTGAAGTTCTTTTTACCTGTTTTGGTCTTCTGTTAGTTTTCTTACTTTTAATACAACCCCTCTGCCATATCAGTTACGTGATTTCAGCAATACTTCCCTCACATGTTCAGTTCCTCTATATGTAGCTACAATTCTCTATGCTGAGTATATGAATGGAAATAAAAAAAAAAGTTCTATTCTTCTTCAATTCAGTTTCACTTCTCACTTTGCCAATTTCTCTTGGGTTTCCTTGGTATGATCGCAATAGTTTGCACCAATCTTTCTTCATGTTGGACTCCTTTTCTTGCTCTCTTTGCTTTACTTTCTTTCATTTGTTTTTGAAAGCTCTCGGCTTAAGTTTGTAAACTTGCTGCCAACTTTTGAGCTTCATTTTTCTTTTTAATTTATGAACTAGATATCTTAAGGGTGTTCGTCGGTCGGTACGGTATGGTAATTAGACATTTCTGTTCGGTATCGGTTTCTTAAAATGCTATACCAATACCATACCTAATTAAATTTGGTATGGTTCGGTTTTTCTCCTTTCGGTTTCGATTTATTCAGTTTGGTAACTTCGGTTTATTCGGTTTGAATACTAACTAGTATAGAGTCATAGACTGTAATATTCTTAATTAAAGTACTCAAAAGTACAAAACAAAAAACGTTTGTTGATAAAAGTTTTGTCCAAAACAAGCAAATATCAACCCAGAGAGAGAAAAGTGTACATAAAGGAATAAATTTGATCATTAGAAATGTTTTGTTATTTGCTTAGAGTTAATTGATGAACTTAGAGTATAAAGAAAAGTAAAACTTAATGTTTTATATTTATGTTATAATTAATAATATGTGTATTGTGCAATATAATATCTATTTTGGTACGGTATCGGTATTTCATTTTAAAATACCAAATACCATACCTAATACCAATTATTTTTAAAAAATTAAACCAAATATCATACCGAATACCAAATACCAAAATTTTCGGTTTCGGTACGGTAATTCGATATTTACCAAATTATGCACGGCCCTAAGATATCTTAACAATCTCTGGCTAAGAGGCTGAAATAAAAGCATGGAAGCTGGCTGTTTGTGTTTTGTTGAACAGGGGTATGTCATTTTAAACATAAAAGCAGTATCACTAGGTTGCTGACCAAGTCCTAACATTTAGCCCGTTGTTCTGGGGGTATGGCTCTTTTATGCTATAAGGAGGTTGCATCTCTTAAACGATTATCTTGACGAGCTCTGGTTATTTACGTGCACTTCCTGTTTGTATTTATTAATGGGGGAGTAGTAATGGAATATTGGGAATGGACTAATATAGAAGAAAGTACTCACACTATTACAACTTGTTGAGTAGTCACAGCTTCTAACTAGACCGGGTAGACGCTAATAGAGATATCAAGTTTTTAACACATGCTGTTTCTCTAGCTCAGTTGGTTCTAATCAAGAAGTACCTGGCTGGTATAAAGCTAAGCATGGTTATTTCTCTTGATTTTGCAAGCTAGTGATATCTATTGTTAGTACTAACACAAGTTGGGACATTGCTTTTTAAGGAAATATTCTTTGACACGCTATTGTTAAAGGCACCCTCGTGGCAGCCATAAGCCCTGAAACTTGCAATGCATGTTGAGCACTTCACCTCGTTTAAGCAGTGATGGGTATTGGCACTAAGGTACTAAGGCACACACCTCAGCGCCCATGGGCTCTTTGTCAAAGAGAAGACATTAAACAATGATGGGTCGTTTGGTATAAAATTTCGGATTATACTTATCCACTGTTTGGTTATTGATATTAGTTAATATTGGTAGTAATATTATACTAAAACTTTGGTATTATTTTTCCCACATTGGATGTGGGATCCCTGAATAACTTTGTTCGCGAACCAAACGTCTCCTTAAAGGTCATTGGCAAAGTGATATATTTTAATTAGGATTACGAAATTAAAATTTACTGATTAAGAAAAAAAGGAAAAGGAATTTAAAATTTTACAATAAAAAGTAGCCGTTAATCTGAATTGCAAACTTTAAATTACATATTTGTATCTGAATAAAAATAAAGCATATGGTATGAATTTGATTGGCATGATTTTACTTTCAATCTTTCTTTGTCCATATAATTGTGTTATCTTGTTTATACATATATGTATATATGTAAGTATGTATGTGTGTGTATTATGCTATGTATATATATATGTACACACACATTATCTGGTATTGCAACAAAAACAAAATGAACCTGAATAGATTATAACATTTATGTAACCTGCCTTGCCCCCAGGACTTTAGTATAGTGGTAAGTATGCAACGCATGATGTGTAGTTTAAGTGCATGTCATGTGTGCAAACCCTACCACAGATAAAGGTTTAGTATTTAAGTGGAGAAGGGTTGTGGAGCGAGTCCATTTTCCATCGAGTTTCAAACCGTGCTCTACTCTGGAATTTCTCGATTATCAAATAAATAAAAGATATTTGTAACCAACCTCAACTAATCTGAATTGAGGTATAGTAGATTGATCGATATATGTGCCCATTTATATACTTGTTTTGTGTGTGTAATTGCACTTTACATTTAGCCCCGTTTGTCCATAATTTTTTTTTTCTTTTTCCCAAAAATGTGTTTGTCCATGAAATTTTGCAAGTTTTTCAAACAAATTTCGAAAATGAGTTTTTGAAAAACCAAAAATTGTCAGAAATTTTTTTTTCTCCACTCACAAAACTGTAACATTTTTTCAAGTGAAATGCATGTCCAATTTCAAATTCCAAATACCATTTTTCAACTTAACTCCAAATACTACTTTTTTTTTCTTTCAAAAATTACAATTTTTATATCCAAACGCCTACTTAAAATCCTAGTAGATCTTGGCGCTTTTTTCTGCTTTTCACCTTTGACGATATGGTATCATTAAGGATCAATAGAGTGGTGTACAGTGATTTCTTTTGCTTCAATTTTTTTTTTTTTTTGGTAGCTGATAAGTTTTTTAGAGAGCAACTATGCATATCTGATGGTTGGCTTGCTACATATCTCTGTCTTTAAGGTGGTTTAGTTATTTTGATATCCTTCTCTCTACTGCTATATCTTATTCAAAATTTAACTGGCAGGACCCATTCCTTAAGCCAGACCCAAGGAAGCAAGAGAAAGCAGCTTCAACCAAGTAAATGGATATGTGTCATCTTTGTTGGTTTGAGGTTTCCTCTTGTTGGATTCATATAATATTTCAGTCCAATAAAATGAAAAATTTCTAACAATAACGAAAATTTTCATTTCATGTTTGCTGGCTTTTGGTATACTCTTTTAAATGCCCCCCAGTGGGCTACTTTGCCAGTCTTATGATGTGATTCAGGCTATGGACAGAATATGAAAAGACCTAGAGATATACCACATAAAGTTGGGATGTGACCGAACATTTTCTCCGTTTTTATGAGGTTTTCAGGTCAGGGATAGAATATGAAAGAACCTAGAGATATGCCCAGATAAAGTTGATATTGAGCAAAAACTGATGTTTATGTGGCTTTAGTAATAATGCATTTTGTTATTGTTCCAAGTTTCATAGTATTTGTATAACTATCAATAGAAACTTTACAGGATCTATAGAAGAATGAAGTGGATAGCCATCCCAGTCAAAAGCAGGCATCTCTGTTTTATTTTTTTAACCATTCATGTTTCCGACCCTGATCTGAATAATATATTCGCGTCATAGAAAGCTTATACGGGGAGAATTT